ATTGGGGAGGTCAAAATTTAAAATTCCCAGTAGGTACTTTTCAAAAGCGCCAAGAAAAACAAAAGAAAAATTAAGGAAAAACGGGAATTTTTACGCAAAATTGATTTTTCAGAAAATTGAATTTGGTTTTTGCTATAACTTAATTTTTCAGTGGTTGTTTATATTTGCATTTTCTATACACGATAACATTTTCAAAATATTTTGATTTATTTTGAACTGTTTAGAGACATTTTCATTTTTCATTTTTTTTTTAGTTTTTTTCCTAGAAATATCAATTAAATTTTATTTGTTAGTTAAAAAAACTTGAAAATTTAATAGAAGGCTCCTAGTATATGGTTTGAAAGGCAGATGAAAAATATTAAAAATCGTTAGTCACAGTTTTTTTTTATAAGCATTTAAAGTTCAAAAATTGACAAAATATGGAAAAATCACGAAAATTAGCAAATTATTTTGAGTTAAGAATTCGTAAAAATTTTTCTTTTTAAATCTAAGACATGAAAATGTAATACAAGATTCCTTATAAGATTGTCTACCTTTACCAATAAAAAAATTTCTAACGGAAAGTCAAATTAAATTTTTATGAGCGTTTGAAATTCAAATTTTTACAACATTGGATATTCACTCGATTTCTCATGTGGCGATTTCCTTTTTTTGTTGTAATTCAAAAACGAATTACTGTAGATACATGAAAATTTCACTGAATGTTTATATTAGCATTTCCTATACACCATACAATTTTGAAAATATTTTGACTCTTTTTGAGCCGTTTACGGACATTTTCAGTTTTCAATTTTTTTAGTTTTTTTTTTCTATAAATATCAATAAAGTTTTATCTGTTGGGCCAAAAAGTGTAAAAAATTAATACAAGGCTCCTGAGTCCTGATATATTGTTACAATAGCAATTGAAAAATATTAAAAATACATAGGCACAATTTTTTTGTATAAGCATTTAAAAATCGCATTTTGACAAAATTTATCAAAATCTCGAAAATTATCAATCATCGTAATTAATAAATTATAAAATGTTCAGTTTTTGTAGCTAAGGATTGCAAATTTAATAAAAAGATTCTCATAAATAGTTCATACTGTAGCCAAAAAATCTAAAAAATATATGAACACAGTTATTTTTTACAGACATTTTAAGTTCAAATTTGGGACGAAATTACATATTAAAAAACCTAGCATACCTATTTTCGTTATTTTGTTGTGAGTGTATAATACTATTCGTGGGTACTTGAAACTTCTAAAGTACACTATATTATATATCTATGATAGTATCAGGGTTTGTTATTGATGTATAACGTGTTATAAGTACCTAATGGATAATGTGATATGATTAATTTGGAATTTATTATAGGTCAATTTTTTTTTTAATACCATAGATATGTATATAATTGTCTTAAACCTAGACTGACATACCGTCTTCGCTCAGAATCGTTTTTCTTATACAATGATATTGTATCATTGAATTCAAATTTAATAGCATCCATTATACAGTGACCCACTTGTAACCACTGTACAGCAGAGCGACATCCACTAACCCACCTTTTTTTTTATTATAAATATTAATTAAAGCTTTCCACACATAAAATTAACTCAATAACAATAACACAATAAAACAATATAATAATATAATTTTATCGATAAATATAGATATTATTATGGATAAATAGGGGCCCTATTCTTCGACAACAAATTAGATAGGTAACATAATAAATGATAAAATTTAATATTTTTATTTAATAATATATTATTTGATTTAAACATGAGGTTACAATGCAATTATTAAACAATTTAAAATAGATGCGGGGTGTCGTCGAGGCCCCCTGAGTCAATGATTAACCTAACCTCTACAGGGGCATTGCCCCGGCTGCCCCTGCAGTTGAGAGATGAGTATCCCGAATCCAACTCCACTACCACTATGGCATAGTTTTACTGCTGTAAAGGAATAGACATATATTTTAATGTATAAGATGTATAAACATATAAATGGGTTGTCAATTATTGTCATGTTGAGTAAACTTAAGCTTATAAGAATCATGTCTATGATTTAAAATTAATACATTTCAATAAATATAAGTAGGTATATTCATTAAATTTATCAGTAGGACCTTATAGGTCAATATAATATAATAATTATTAATGGTTTAAAAATACATTTCACAGGTAGGTACTTAATTAACAAAAATAAATATTAACAAAATTAAACAAGGACTATGGTTAAATTCAATCAATAGTTTTGTTATTATATTTTTCATAGTCAAATTCTATTTATATAAATATTTGCAACAATACATCATATATATTAATCGTTTAGTAACGACTAATTCAGTGAATGTAGGTATTTTTATTGAAATATATCAAGTTTAAATAATAGATGTAAGGTGTGACCTTTATCAACTTGAATTATCGGTTAAATACACTTGTTTTGCTCAACATGACTTATGTTATACGTGTTGCTATACAGTGGCGAACCCAAGGGGTTGAATCCTAGGTACACCCCCCCCCCTCCCACAACAAATGGCTAATGTCATACCTAGTATTTATTTTTATTTTTTAAAGATTCCCTGACACTTTCATAAAAACTTATTGATATTGTATATATTAAATAATTGCGTTTATAGGCAATAAAATGTGTGTATAATGTATATAGGTACTCAGGAAAGGAATAGAAAAACAGAAGTAAATACATTTTTAGGCCCCCCCTTGACTCTTGAATAAGTCCTGGTTGAGCTTTTGCTGCTATAGACAGGAAGAGGTATATTGAACTGATTAATTCAAAACACAACACAACGATTACAAAATCGTCATGTATAATAATAATTACACATATAATAATTAGCTATTTGGTTTATTTACAAATAAAAAAAAATATATAATATGTTACAAAAATTATGATAGCAGTACAAACTAAAGTGAATATGAATAAAATACATAAATACTAAAATACAGTATATATATACTTATTGCTTATAATTTACAACTTACACAAATTATGTGGTTTATTTTGACGTACACAGATTTATTTTACTTATTTTACTCAAGCTCAAAGATCGTTACAATATGAAATCACACGTTTTTTTCTTGACATACAATAAAAAATAAAAATAAAATAATAATAATTGTCAATTGGCCTCTATGGGCAATAAAAAATATAATAATCAACAAATTGTTCTACAACTAATAATAATAATAATAATATTGGAATTCATCTCTAGAAATTAATTCTTGCAGACTACATTACCCTGTATTCGTAACATTACAATAATATTTAAGGCCCCTAAAATAAAGGTTACTTTAGTTTGTTCACAAATAAATAGAGTTAATAATAATTGTCGTACATCTTATTGCCTTTATAAGTGTTTAAATTCTAAATGATAAATACTACACAATATTTTAAATATTTAATGTATTATCATTGCTATAGTTCAAAATGTAAATAGAACATTAATAATGTATACATACATTATAGTTGTATGTTAATACAATAACTTGTACATTTGGTCAAAGTAGAAATATTTGTATAAAAATCATGTAGTATACAATATGTGTAAAGAAAATGAGTAAAAATCAAATTTACTGAAACACGTTTAAAAAAAACCACGAAAATATTGGTTACCGTGTACAGTAGAGTAAAATAGATGATTGTTATAGAAATATTAAGTGACATTTCTTATAACAAAATGATACGTAAAAAGTGTTATATCGACAAAGATTTTGATTAACTTTTTTAAAAATAATAAACATTAAGATAGAGAAAATATCGATCACAAGACAAATTTTATCAGAAAAGTGTGTATTGATTTCAACCAAATTGTGGTAGACTATTGGGAAAATGTACAAAACTCAAATAATAATGAGACAATAGTATAATACAAATTACAAATACATACAAGTGTATGCAATAAAAAATTAGAAAATATCACTACGCGAGAAATGTTTAAGGTTTAATGTTTTAGAGTTAGAGATATGCATATGTATTATATATACCTATTATACCTATATATACATACATAGGAGAAACGAAAAATACAAATTCTTAATTAGACTAGATTGCTTGGAGACTAGAAATCAACTTCTAAACATATAAAACCAATGAATAATAATAATACAATTGTTACATAAATTCACCATGAACCCAATGATTAAAAATCTTATCGAGCAAAACGCTGAAGTATTAATTATTTTAAACTAGATCTGTTACAAGTGCAATAAGTACTATCTATGTAAGAATAACATGATGAAAGGATAACATACATCTAAGCAAATAATATGGTCAACAACTGATTGTCAAGGTTATACAGCCATCTTTATAAATACTTAAATCGTATATGAAAAATTACAATTAAAATAAAAAAATAGTATGTTTATACTGAAAGAATAAAAATATATTAGTATTGCTGTGTATATTGTAAAATTCTCTTTAATTTTTATAATTTTTATAATGTACCATTACCATAAGACATGTCCATTATAGTACTTTTAAACAAAAAATATAAATCATTTTAATACTTGGCAGTTAACAAAAATAACAAACAAATAATTGAAAATATTTCAAATCAAAGGGTTCAAAAAATAATGTAGGTCAAATATATAAATATTGTAATAAATATAAAAAACACACAATCACATTGTATCTTAAAATTTAATCACTATACTCAATTGCATTATATCCTATTGTCATTGAATTAATTAAAAAATATAATTAATATATATATATTTTACTCTTCTTATTTTCTATCACATTTTATTTGAAATAATATATTTGACATATCAGTTATCACATATGAAAAAAAAACACCTTATTGACAATACAAATCGCCAATGGGAATTTCGTTACGTTATATTTAAATCGAAATATTCAATGCAGACATATTGAAAATGTCTTCAAAGTGATATCACAGTAAAATAGTCTTAACGACCTTTTTCTTTAATTATTATTTATTACTATTATACTTTCCTTTCTGGAAAAATGTCGCCGATGACGACGACACTGTGTGTTATTTCACCACCTCGTCGTCTTCATCATCTTCTTCATCTTCAGAATGTTGCACTACGATGGGCATGATGGGAACACTTTTATACTTTACTCTCTTTGGATCAAATGGGTCCACTACAACATGTTCAGTACCTTTGATCTCGGCCCGACAATATGGACAACCTTGGCCATCGGATTCCTGATAGAAAAAAAAACAAATAATACAATCATTATACTAAAGTAACCAGAATAACACTATTTATGAAAATTCACTGGATTTACATAAATCACTGTAGAACAGTGTACATGCCGACTTACCATCCAAGAGTTTAAACACGGTGTGCATAAAAGATGACCGCATGGCTCGATGCGAACATCCTTGTCGTTTTCTGTACATATTTTACATATCTGGAAAGTGGATCCCATTTCACAGTACATTTCGTATTGCTCATGAGTAACTCTGATATGATTTTCTGGACTTTGTTCAACGGCATTTGATAGATCTGGATTTCCTTTTTGTCCATCCGGATAGAGATAACTGAAGAAAATTAAAATATTGGTTAATACATGGATTTCTCACAAACTCGAATTTTTAACAATACAAGTATAAAAAAAGTCACAAAAAAAGTTGTACTATAGAGATACGTAAAAATGCGAATAATTTTTACACAACACATGAATATCTTTAAAACCACAATAATAAAGTACTATTATGGTTCCTGAACAGTATTTTGCATTGTATTTATCAAAACAGTAATAATAAAAGGTCATAATTTATTTTTAATATTTTGTGTGGGATTGAATGAACATTTTTATTTTTGATGTAAAACTCCAGATAATCTTTTGAAAATATCAAACAAATAATATTTCAAATTAAAAATCACCGAGTCAAATTTTACTGTCCTAACAAAACACATAAACTTATAAAGTTATCGATACAAAACATAATTTATGCTGTAATTAATTAAAAACGTAATTTTTTCTCTGTGAAAATATACTTACAATCCTTCACGTGCACCATCTAATAATGCCTGACACAAAGATTTATTTTGAGGAATGGTCTGTAATATTTCACCCTCTGTTGTCACGTAACCAATAGCCCACTGCCCTAGCCGTGTGCAGCTTAGACGGAATACGTAACTAATAACAAACCAATATAATACATTTTATTAATAAATTAACTATTTAACTAGGTACATACTTTTCAATATGAAATACAGATAATTATTTAACACTATTATACCATTAAAATTGTGTACTATCGTTAATAATAGTAATGACTAATTGTGTGTAGTATTTTTGTTCAAATTTAAAACTAAACAACTGATATATCTAATTTTTTTATTCTTCTTATTTCTTACAGTATTGGACAAAAATAGGTTATTTATTCTAAAAGGTCTGTAAGAGAGAATTATAAACATAAACATTATCTTAAAACAATTTAAAATTTAAATTTTTTGTTGAGATTTATGGGTATAACAATTTATTTGATTTTTTGAAATTAATACCAAGAACCAATTTTTCTAAAGTAGATACTGATACTCAGTGAAGTTTGAAAAATTAACACTCAATTACATTACATGGTTTATTTATTTAACATGCTCACTACGGATCATATTTTTGTATATTTGTTGTGACGCTGAAAAAATTTGAGTTTTAATAAAAAATTTCCTAAAAATTGAAAAATTGAAATATCAGTTTACGGTTTGCACTTGATTATGAAAAAATGTTTATAGAAGACGCTGACAAAAAAACCAAAAGTTTATTTGTAATGCTGACCAAATTTAGTCTATTAAATAACACGGTTCATGAAGCCAATTGGCGTCATTCAGCATATGCGAACTATGTAAATTGATGCCATTTGGCATCATCAACAGTGAACGTTTTAAGTATCGATATATACTTTATAGTGCTGTGTTATTTTATCTTATTATTATAAGTATTAACTATTAAATATCAAACTAAGCATTAACAATCAGATTAATTAGGTTTATTTGTATATAAAATTAATTAAAAGTGTTACATATAGAATTACAAACCTCCCTGGTCGGGTGATAAATTTTTCTAGACGAGCTTTAACTTCATCGTATGTTAAGAATGCAACATATCCTGGATGCGTAACAGCTAATATCTTCCAATTTCTTAATAAAGTTGGCCAAGGTTGAAACAATCTAAACAATATTAAAATTTCTCAATTGTAAAATTTAAAAATGTATGAATATAATGTGTAGATTAACTACTTTATTAATTTACCTGGTAAAAACATCAAACTCAAAATTTGATATGTAATCATTACATGTTAAATCTATTGTTGATTTGAGCGCCATTGCTTCTAATCCACTGACAATTGGATGGACGTCATGAAGGGCACTACGAAATAGTTTCCAAGGAACTACAGTGCTATACAAAAAAATAATAAATTATGATAATTTATAAATAAGTTACACCACAATGATTTCCTTTTATTAATAAAATTAATGTAAAGATGGGCTAATATCTTAGACAATCTAAACATAATAATAAATTGTAAGTATGAATTAATATATAATAAAAAAATACAAATCTCAACATTTATTATCGTTTCAAATTGACAAAATATATTATATTAGTTTTTAATGCTTTGTGTTAGGGCTGAGGGTATTTTAAATAAACCGTAAATACCAGTATACATTTTCTAGTATCAATGGCAATAATATAGATTATAATATTATATATTATAGTATATAATAAAGGATGTATATAGTGTGAAACAATATTAAAGTAAAAAATATCGATACTAGTTAGATTTTATTTATTATTTCGGTATACTGTACCATATCGGTATTTAGGTATACCGAAACATTACCGATCTAAAACATTACAACGTTAGTTCTTAAAAATATTTCACTACAAATCCTTAAAAATAAAATAAGGTTAGGTATATATAAAGATTTTTATTTTAATTAATTATGAAAATTGAAGTAGTTTAAGTATAATATAGTACTGGACTAGTACTAAACAGAAGTTTTAACTATTTTTTAACAACTTTGATATTTATTTTTGATTTCATGATATAAAAATGGTTCTTAATATTTGTATTCATTTTTTAGTAGCAATGTCTCAAATATTAAAAAGTATACTATCAATTACAAAAATCCAAATATGTTTTGGAGTTTAGACACAATTTATATTCTAAAGTTATTTGTTTTATCATAATATAGTACCTAATAAATATAAGAATATATTTTTATACTTTCATAAGTAGCATAGGTAGTGTTAATAATTAACTGATTAAAGTAGATATGTTTTAAAATCACATATTGGGTAAATGGCCAAATGTTGGCATCCCCTTTGTGACTTTAATTTGCATAATAAATTTTAAAATGATTTTAAGAAAATACATTTTAGTGAATAATTAATTCCGGTCAAACACTATTGAATTTGGATTAGAAATATATAAACTAAGAAAAATATATATTTATAAATACGTACACCAATAAATTCATCAATAGATTGACATGCGGATGGGAAACTCAGATAAAAATAAAATCTATATTGGTAGGTTATTTACAATAGGAACCTCAATTTAAAATACACTTAAATATTATATAGGTATCTTAAACTGTCGTAGGAATGGTATACCTAGATATATTTAAATAATGAACATCTTTATATAATATATTTTTAAAGCTTCTCTAAATAATGAATCCTTCTCATCCCTCTGGAAATTCACTTATATCAATCCCAATCATAAAAAATAAATAAATCACTAGTTTCTAATTCTATCATCCCACAATGGTATTTGTTTAGTATGTGACCTGCCAGATCGCGTGACCTTCCCTATTGGGTATTCGTTTAGTATTTCTAGTCAAAGTAAAAATCATATAATTATTTTACTTATTATAATTAATTAATAGGTGATACATACAAATATAAAAAGTGGGTGTTGCTCAGTAGGTTACAAGTGGGTCACTTTAATGGATGGTATTAATTTGAATTCAATGATAGGTACCTATATCATTGTATACAAAAAAAAAACCTCGAAAAAACGATTCTAAGCAGAGACGGTGTGACAGCCTAGGATATTTTATATTATATTTATATTGTTATTACTTATTATTACTATGGTAGGCAATTAAGTTGAATTATTATTTCAGGGCTTGAAAACGTTATAATAACGTTATATTCGACAAAAAACGATTGAAATTTGTAAACGTAATTATAACGGAAAGCAATAATTAAAAATAATTAAATACCGCAAAACAAAATATATTATATAATATTGTTAAACAAAACATAATGCAAAACGCAGTTTATAAAATATCATTAAGCAAACAAAATCTCAAAACGTAATTTATAGAATTTCATTGAACGAAAATTAACACAAAACTAAATAATTTAAAATACATTTTTTTAAAAGTTATATTGGTTTTGTAGAAATATTTATTTTATGCATACAGACATTAGATTATATTATATTCCATATCCGGGCCATTACCTGCCCGCATTAGTTATTCTTAATAAATTTAATAGGTACTAAGTATTAACACTATTCTAAAAAACAATAAACGCAAAACTTGTATAAAGTTTTAATTTTAAATAACGATAAACTCGAAAATAGTGTAACATGTTTATTATCATATTTGTACCTATCTAATAATATACTTTAGAAGTTTCAAGTATCCACGAATAAACCAATAATATTTTTTAAATACTTATAAGTTAACAAAACTAAAATAAATTTCATTTAAATATCTAATTTTGTCCAAATTTGAACATAAAATATCTATAAAAAAAACAGTGTTTTTATATTTTTTATTTACAGAATAAACCATTTATGTGGAACCTTGTTTCAAATTTTCAATCCTTAACAATAAAAATTTAACCTTTTATAAATGTTTAACTACAAATTATTTTTTAAATTTTAAATTTGATAAATGTTGTTAATATTTGCACTTAATATGCTTATAAAAAAATTATGGGGGACGAGCGTCTGTATAGTGGCTGAGCGGTCTAAGGCATCGGCAGCCGACGCTGGCTCAATACCTCGGTCAAGGGTGGTATTTTTCTTTGGCCAAGTCACAGTGTCTGGAAAACAAGGGCTGCCACCCCCTACCCGGGCATGGCAGATACTTATGGGTGCCCAATCAAAAATTCTGCCAAACAAAACACACACGTGTTCCCCCCCTACCGACATAAAAACCTACAAAATCACACAGCTAATGGCCATAGTCGCCAGGCTTAAGATCAACTTAAAAAAAAAAAAAAATTATGGCTGTGTATTTTTAATATTTTTCAACTGCCATTGTAACAATATATTAGATAGCAGCATTATATTAAATTTTCAAGATTTTTGACCCAATGAATAATTTTATTGACATTTATAGGAAAAAAAACTAAAAAAAAGAAAACTGAAAATGTCCGTAAACTGCACAAAATAAGTCAAAATATTTTCAAAATTATATAGTTTATAGAAAATGTCATATAAACACAAAGTGAAAATTTCATGTATCTACGGTAACTTATTTCATTATTACACCAAAAACTAAAATCAATTTTGTCAAAAACCGATTTTGAGTAAAAATTCCCGTTTTTCCTTTATTTATATTTTGTTTTTCCCTGCGCTTTTGAAAACTATTGGCCTTTGAGATAATAAAAATGTTGACTTCCCAAATGTCTCATCAGACAAGATACTGTTGAGAAAATCAAAGCAATGTGACAAACGGTGATGATAGACACAAAAAAAAATTAAAATAAAAAATAAAAAAAACACACATCATTGTAAAATCAATACATTCATTGCTCTGCTCAGAATCTACAAACAATTCTTAAAATTATTGAATCTTGATTATTCCTTATTATCCAAATAAATTACCTATTATATAATTTTTTTTTTTTATAATTTTTCTTTATTTTTGTATAGTTATAGGTTTGTTGTTCTACTCTATGCTGTTCGTACAAAAATTAGTTTTTTTTAATAAAAAAAATGCTTATGCCATATTTCTACTGATTTTAATTGTAATATTATAGTAGTATGATACTTTTATGTCAAATATTTAAATGAACAAAAAAATCCAAATTAAACCTGGTAAGATTAGAACTTGTCTATCAGTTATTGATTTTCAGTTTGATACTAGGTAAACAGTTTGTGTTTAATCACAAATCACTAAACAATATGGGCATCTACTATTTAAATTGTTGATAATTTAGATTTATCAAAAATAAAGATTTTGTGATATATTATAAAATGTTTCAATCGTCAGATTTCAATGGTTTTGTGAATACATTTCTGAAGTTGTACAATGGGTAGATAGATAAATATTTTTTGTTTTATTAAAAATGTCTTTTTCGGGACATAGTATAACATTTACTGGGATTTTATCATAATAATAATGATTCCGAGATTCAAAAAATCACATGAATTATTTTTCATTATAAAGCTGTAGGTATTTATGAAAAACCTATGAATGGTTCTAAGTGATTTCTTCGGTGATTTCATTATATAGGTATTCGTGTTATAAACATTTTATTTTATTTAAAAACAGTTTTGTCAGTTCAGATACCTAACAATACATATTATTTAGGACAAAAATTATAAATATTATCTTATAACAATAATAAATGTTAACAATGAGAACTAATATTAAAATGTATGTTCATTGAGTGAAATCGCAATTATTTTTTATAAATTCTTTAGGAAAATAACATAGGTATTATACTTCAACATCAGTCTACAATAGTTGATTTTGACTGATGTATTTATTTTATTCTATGCTCCAGTGGAGTATTAATGTACATAAATAAGGAAATAGTGTTTAATAATAATTATTAACATACATTGAATACTAAAATTATTAGGTAGTAAACCGAGGTCGTTATTTTGGTATCTCTGATTTTGTAAAATTGAAACTAGTCATACTACACTTGGTACGTACCTATCACATGAGAAATCAGCTGTTTACTTAATTTAACCAAAAAATAATTTTATGATAATCTAGATACCTAGATTTAATAGGTTGTACACCTATCTATGTATAATATGATTTTTATGTATAATAATTATATAACACATTATAAAATACTAACACATAGTCCTTATAGGCCTATACTATACTAGTTTAAAATCTATTGTACTAAAATGACAAGCCTCGTGACAAGCTATTGATTATTGATATAACGCAAAATGTATGAGTTATTCATATTTGATACCTACCTATTTAGGCAAGTATTTAGATGAGTACCTATACAGTAACATACTTTGTTGAAGACATATTGAACAAGCTAAACATACATATATACAGAGCTGAATTTTAACAACTAATATTAGTACCTATCAGATATTTTTTTTTTGGTTTTGTCAGATAAATAAATAAATAGCAGGTATATCAAACAAATTTTTGATTTTTATAATAAATGTTGACTATTATAGGTTTTTGTCAAGGGAAATAAATCAACAACACTTTCTTCTATAAAGAAATTCAAAATTTAGAATAAAAATATAGGTACCTAGTAAGTAGGTACCAAATATGGCTTTATTAAAACTAAAATGCTTAGTTTCAGAAAGTAAATTATTATTTTTATTTTAAAACCTGGCCTTAAAAAATGTTTAAAATACTTCTTAAACAATATAATACAAGTATTTGAAGTTTTAAACACTAGGACTTAGTGCATTTATATTATTGTTAAATCAATATATGTAGGCGATTATGGATTAATATCATTCCCAATATTCAAAAGTTATATAGATACATGAATGTCTTACCTCATTCCAAAGTTAGATCTCCAAAATTCTGCAGCATCACTTTTGGTTATTCTAAATTTATCACCAGCAAATCTATGATTTGGAAATAATGCTTTGAGCTCACTGAGCATATGGCTGAACACTAAACTCAATTTGGTCAAATTTCTCCTATAATGTGAATTTTCATCATACATTTTCTCCTTGCCCTCTTTGAATAATTTGATGGCTTGTTTGCATTTCCGTATCACATTCAAAATGAAAACATTGAAATGCTCGTTGTTGTACAGCTCAGAAAGGTCATTCTCATACTGTGTATAAATGAACCTGAGCCGCTGATAGGTGTCGGGCAGTATATCGAGTATAAACGGTGGTGAGTTCTTCAGGTTCATCTTGGAATGTTGACACAGTTTCACAACCTTGTCCATCAGTTTCCATGTCTTCTCTAGCGTGCGCTTATCGATGGACGCTTTTGGCGATGTAATGGCTTCAGCAAATGCACCATGCAATTTCATCAATATCGAAGCCAGGTTCCTAGGCTGTATCATTCGGTTCGTGCTCGATGACATCATGACGTGCAAACACATCAATAGCTACGGGCACCGAGCGATGGATCACGACTAGTGACGGTCACCGGACCGGCGTCACTGGCCCGGCATACACATTATATCGTCCGACGACACGGCGAGACACAACGTCGGTCGTCGATCGGCCGCCAAAGGAGTCGGCACAAAAATTGTTTGGGTCGCACTTTCTACACTCAGCTACAGTGACCTGGACAGCAGACTACCATGGTGGCGATTTTACGCGAGGACCGCCAACGCGAACTATGAAAACCACGAAATCGGAGAAAATTCGATCGGCAACGACTCGAGAACGGCCCGCACCGTTTCATTTACACATCGACATCGTCGCTAAAAATTAATAATTTATAGGTATTAATATTTTTCGTTATTATTATTATTATTATTATTTATTGTGTCTGGACTAGTATGGGCTACGGAGAAACGCGTATCGTTATCAGTGAGTTAGAGTGAGAGAATGCGCAAAACTGCAAAAGAGGAAGTGGGCAATTATTATTATCATTCGACACGGAAATGAAAAAATATCCAAGGTTTTCGGTCGACCGTCGTACGGTGCGGAACGTTTCGCGCGATACCGTAACGGTGCCGTACGTCACTGACACACGTCCGGTTGTACAACACCACTTGCTCCTGAACGTCACACCTCAACTGTCGCTGTCTAATGGTCTAGTCCGTACTCCGTCACACACTCAATACTCATATAGTCATATTATTATCGGCATTCGGCGGCGTAGGCGGCATGACGCGTCCCGTTGTGCGGGCATAATAATACGGCTGACCATGATGGGAGTGAAACTTTTTTATTTCTCATATATTATTAAATATTCTCTAATATTACGTTTTATGGTATTTTCTGGTTTGTCCGTACGACGCGACGTGGCGGCTTTAAGCCGTACTCAAAGTTATCGCGGCTCACCAGTCAAGTGCTCTACGAATTACATAGTTACGTCAATTATATTGGGCACCAGGCAAAATAGATCTTAATAATACATTTATATCTATCAAATAATTATGCATATAATGTCTATTAATTGGTCGTGATACGCACTACCTATAGGTGTTATGTGCTGCACCTTTTCGCGTACAGCTACTGTGTGTATACTATACTGTGAATCCTGTATCAAGTCTTGTTAAGTATTCGAATACGTCTTGTATTTAAAATACTTTCAAATTACTTTTCCTTTGTATTTTATTTCAGAATACTAAATACTTTTTTCTGTTTACTCATCAAATCATCACTTTTGGGACAATAAAAATGCTGTGATTTTCTCCAACATCATCTTTTCTGATAGAAAAGCTAATCTATAGTTAGTACTTTTATAGGTGTCAAAATTCTCGATAGTTTTCGAAAGCGTCGGGAAAAACAAACAAACAATTAGAAAAAACTGAGATTTTTACACAAAACCAATTTTCGAATAAATCGATTTTGTTTACTAGTATAATTCTAAAAATTTTTAGAAAGGTTTTTTAAAAAGGTTCTCTGCTGGTGTACAGTAGGTTACAATTGGGTCACTGTATAATGGATGGTATTAAATTTGAATTCAATGATATGATATCATTGTATAAGAAAAACGATTCTGAGCGGAGACGGTACGTCGTATGTCAGCTAAGTATATAAGACATATTATTATAATCTATATATATAAAAATGGAGACAAAAAATTCGAAATTGCATCAGTTGAGAACGGCTGGGCCGATTTTGCTCAAATTTTTTTTAAGATGTTCGTAATTGCCAGGTGAAGGTTTTTACGAAAGAAAATTTTTAAAAAGTCAACCGAATAATTAAAAAAACTGCAAAAACTATTTATTGATGTCTGGGATTTGAGCTCGATACCGTTGTCTTTATTTACTCTATGGTGTATTATATTATATTGGTTGCTATTGGTTAATCGGACATGCTTGTTGATTTGTATTATTATTTTTTGTAATTTTATCTATAAATAAATAAATATAAATGAATATCTATATATAAATGAATGACCTATGGGAAGAAGATACGCTAATTTAAAAAGGGTTAAATTTGGTTTTTTTTATTCATCGGATTTTAGTACGGTTAGGTTAGGTTAAGATTTATAGGTAGGTGGAATTAAGTAAAAACGTCAAACTTGGTATAACTTTAGTACTTTTTGAGTTAAATCATACACTTACGTACAAACAGCACGGGGTCCGCGATCTACCGCAGGTAAATTACCTATCTGATAATGTACTGCTGCAATCCAGAATTTTTATTCCGGGCAACAGAAAAGTTAAGATAAATCTAGAACATCATACACCGAATATTAAATAACGCATTGAACAATGTTTGAGTCATATAGAGTTGGTACATTTAACGGGAAACGAAGTGCACGGGATCAGCTAGTATTATATATTTATCTATGGTATTAAAAAAAATTGACCTATAATAGATACCTATAATAAATTCTAAATTAATCATATCACAATATCCATTAGGTACTTATAACGCGTTATACATCAACAACAAACACTGATACTATAGTAGATATATAATAGAGTACTTTAGAAGTTTCAAGTAGGTACCCACGAATAATATTATACAATCACAACAAAATAACTAAAATAGTTGTTGTTCTAGGTTTTTTTTATCTAATTTCATCCAAATTTGAACTTAAAATGACTATAAAAATAAACTGTGCTTATATATTTTTTAGATTTTTTGGTAACAGAATCAACTACTTACATGGAATCTTGTTTTAAATTTTCGATCCTTAGATATAAAAGTTGAACATTTTATACAATTTTTAACTACAAAATAATTATTCAATTTTAAATTTGATAAATTTTGTCAAAATTCGATATTTAAATGCTTATAAAAAAAAATTGTGTCTATGTATTTTAAATATTTTTCAACTGATATTGTGACACTATATCAGGAGCCTTGTATTAATTTTTTACACTTTTTGGCCCAACAGATAAAACTTTATTGATATTTATTGAAAAAAAAACTAAAAAAAAATTGAAAAATGACAATGTCCGTTAACAGCTCAAAAAGACTCAAAATATTTTCAAAATTGTATGGTGTATAGGAAATACTAATATAAACATTCAGTGAAATTTTCAAGTATCTACAGTCATTCGTTTTTTAATTACAACAAAATAAGGAAATCTCTACATGAGAAATCGTGTGAATATCAAATGATGTAAAAATATGAATTTTAAATGCTCATAAAAATTTAATTTGAGTTTCTTGTAGACATTTTTTTTTTTTGATAAAAGTAGATAATTTTATAAGGAATCTTGTATTACATTTTCAAATCTTAGATTTAAAAAGAAAATTATTTATGAATTTCTAACTCGAAATAATTTTCAAATTTTCGTCATTTTGACGTATTTTGTCAAAATTTGATCTTTAAATGCTTATAAAAAAAAATTATGACTTAGGATTTTTAATATTTTTCATCTGCCTTTGAAACAATATACTAGGGTCTAGGATTCTTTTATTAAATTTTCAAGCTAATTTAACAAATAAAATTTTATTGATATTTTTAGAAAAAAAACTAAAAAAAATGGTAAATGAAAATGTCCTTAACAATTCAAAATAAATCAATATATTTTGAAAATGTTATCGTGTATAGAAAATTCAAGTATAAACCACCGGTGAAAATTTCATGTATCTACGGTAATTTGTTTGAGTTGCACCAAAAACCAAAATCGATTTCCTCGAAAACAGATTTTGCGTAAAAATTCCCGTTTTTCCTTTATTTTTCTTTTGTTTTTCACGGCGCTATTGTAAATTATTGGGAAATATTTACTTTTGATCCTCCAAAGTACCAACTAGATTCACTTTCCTATCAGAAAATATACTGTTGACGAAAATCCAAGCACTTTTACTGCCCTATAACGTGATGACAGATACGAAAAAAAAAACAAAACACACATCATTGTAAAATCAATACATCATCGTTCCACTCAGAATCTAAAAGTGTATCGGAAAGCCAAATTAATTATTTTCTAGAATGTGAAGTTAGACATTAGATATTCACACAAATCACACGTACCTAGGTAAATGAACAAATTCACATACAACGATTTTCTTATTATTTTTTATATTAACCGTAGGTAGGTACTTGAATTATTTATCAAATGTCCGTCTTATCAGTTTCTATGCATGATATAATTTTCAATAATTTGATTCGTTTCAAGTTATTTATAGACATTTATAATTTTATATTTTTTTTAGTTTTTTATTCAAAAATCTTGAAAATTAGAAAGTAAAACTAATAACAAGGTAAAATTAATTACAAGGTTTCTTATAGGTTGTTATATTAGCAGTTGATAAATATTAAAGATCCATATTATCCACGATTATTTTTTATAAGTATTTAAAATTCAAATTTAGACAAAAGTTATCAAAATATCGAACATTTTCAAATTTATTGTAGTTAAAAAATTACAAAAAATTCAAATTTTATAGCTAATAATAGAAAATTTAAAACATGATTACTCATAAATAATTCATACTCTAACCAAAAAATATATAAAATATAGGTATACCTAAACACAGTTCATTTTTACAGATACTATAAATTAAATTTGGACGAAATTACATACCTATTAAAACAAAGAATAATGATTTTAGTTATTTTGTTGTAATTTAAAAATATTATTAGTGGGTAATTATATGAAACATTTGGAGTATAATATTATAATGAATGCGGTGGTTGATCAGAGTCCACCTTCTTTTAAAATTTTTTTTTAGCGTACCCCTTCTATTTATTTGAAACGGAACGCTTTGAAGGCAACATTTACTATAGTGAATTTGTAAATCATCAGTTTTTCTGATGCAAAATATACCTATAACCTACAGCCATAATATTTGTACATTTGAATCGGCTATGAAAAAAAAAATTGCTTGTTAAATTGCTAAGAAATTGTATTATACCCACATAAATATAAGCATATATCAGCTGTGATTATGTCATAGATAATTGATACATTTTATGGATTATATTTATATAAATCGTAATACCTATAATTTCTGAAGA